CCTAGCAAGCTGGGTCCTCATTTTACCGACCTCGGAATGATAGAAAGGCCAAGTCAACCTTGAACCATCTACCTGGGATTGAACCCTGGGTTGTGAGCACAGTTTTAGCTGCAGTACAACAGTTTAACCACTGTGCCATGAGGCTCTTGTATTTCCAAATGAATGATGCTGAATTTTTGTGTGTGACAATATCATGTTATCCAAATTGTGAGTGTGCTGCTTCAATCAGTGGCTGAAAGGCCTAATACTTAACCTCATGCATGTCACTGCACTAAGTGTTTAGTGTTCCTTTGTCCTAAAGCCTTAGCAGATGATTCAGGCATGAGTTGTAAAATTCAAGAAAATATAGAGCCAATGTAGTACTAATAGGAGTGTTATACAGGATACATTTGTTCATTTGACCATTATTTCCTCAAATGATACAGCTAGACATATATTAAGATCAAACGTCCCTAGCCTAGTCCTTCCAGATGGATGTGACTACACCATCCATCAGCCCCAGGCAGCATGTTGTCTGAAGTTGATGAGAGATGTACTCCCAAACATCTGGAGGGTACCATACTGGGAAAGGTAAGATCAGGTGAGTTATCTTGCTAGATCAAGCCAAAGTCTTTTAAGTTTACTGTCTCCAGAAGAAGCCAACCAGTTGCCTCTGGAAGTTCCCAAACATGGCATGAAGGTAGCAACCATATACTGCCAACCTCTGGAATACAAGATAATTTGTGTTTCAGTGTGGGAAATAATTTTAGCTATATTTCAGTAATCCAAGTAACTGTTTATTCTGCAGACGTCATTTGTCCTTCTAATGTGAGCTGTGTTAACTGCAAACCTCAAAATTTAGCATCCTCTCAGAACTGGCAAAGGTTTGTAGCATTTTGCAGAACAAAATGCCATCACAGACATATAATGGACAGGTATATTCAAGGTTCCTGGTTAATACACTCAGAATACCTCACATTGTGCTTTTCATGAGAAAGATATGGCAAAATTTGACTGACTTTTTTTTTTTGCAGTCACCAAAACTATGTTTAATAAACATGCCCCATATATGATCCTACTTGCCATTTTCGCTCCAGCGTATTGGGCAAGAAACTCCTGGTCTTGTGCTAAAGTTGAATTTTTGTATCAACTAGGAATCCTAAATTGCTCTGTCAGTTTCAACTTCAGATGAAAAGAGTAGGCTCTGCTTCACAAAAAAACTTACTAATCAGTTTTTCAGTCTTCAATGTGCTAGAAGACCCTTTGCCTTTTTTTCCCAGGCCCTTCCCCTGGAAGTAGTAAATCTGTATATGCTGTTTCAGCACCGTGGATTTCTTTCTCAGGTATACCTGAAGCCTAGTTTCAGAGAGAAGGACACATAGGAAAGAGGAGGAATCACTGTATGAATGCCTGTTGAGTAAGTTTAGCAGTTCAGAGGTAACTGCACCTCAGTTGTAGGTCACAGGATCACCTCTGAACAATTTCTGTGGATGGGCCATCCATCTAGGGAGCGGCTTCAGGGATAGCTCCCGCCATGGTATGAAAAAAGAATGGCAGAAATAGCACTCAATAGCTAGAGGGGAAAAGGTTGTCCCAAAAAGAGTCCAGACTAATGGTAGCTGAATTAGCTAGAGGGGAAAAGGTTGTCCCAAAAAAGAGTCCAGACTTGATAGACTGCAGCAGAGTGGGCAAAATGTGGCCCTCTAAATGTTCTCAGAGTATCATGCACATCAGGCCTAGCTGGGGTAGCCTGTATTGAGCATTGTTGGCAGTTGTAGCCCAACAACATTTGCCTCCCTCTGCACAAAACAGTAAGAGGTTACAATGAACCCATCTTACCCATTCGAAGCATGCATCACGTGGCAGTGAAGCAGCTGCAACTCCCATCATCCTGGTTATGAACTTGGGAAGAGACCCAGTGTTGATACCAGAGAAATGTGGAATGCTCATCTTATGTCGAAGAGAGCACATGGACCAGTTAAAAGAGCCCCTTGTGTGGAACTGCTCTGTGCACCATATGTGGTTGTGTGCATGTAGGTGCCACCACGTTTGAAATACACATGAGGCAGGGGAAGGGCAAAGGCAGAAGGCATCATATCACCCCTATCAACAGTGGTGTTGCACATTACACCTTTAATGTGTAAGAGCTTGGAAGGATGACTTCCTATTGATAATTGTCAAGCACGGGCTGCAATCCTGCTCTTAAGAACATCAGTGAGGGTGTTTTTATGTGAGCAGGCTTGCAGCAAATTGTATAGGACTGAGTATATAGTTTCAGTTGTATCGTTCTACAATGATTCATTTGCCAGAAAGTGTCCCTGTCCCAATACTTATCAAAGTACATACCGTCCCCATTTCTAATGGCATTTGCGATTTTGTGGGAGGATCATGTCTCTGAGAAAACTTTATTTCTTGTAAAAGTACAAGCAGATCCTCTCTCCCTAGCTAGTGTTTCAGTTATAAATGTCCTAAATGACAGAAATCTCTGTCTTCACTTCTGATATTATTTTATGCACTTCATGTGTATGCATGTTTCATTTGGGACTAGAGATGGAAACAAATTGGTGGTTCGTGCTGATTTGCAGGTGATGGCGTCCGAACAGGTGTGTTCCATGGTTTGGTGCCCTGCCCTCTCCAGTGGGCGCCCACTTGGACGTAGCATCTTGGCTTCCCTGCCCCTCCTCCTCCAGGCACTACCTCTAAGGGGGCACTTGCTGGAGGGTGATTTTGACCAAATTACTGTTTTTTGGACAGGAAGTTTGGGACAGACATTTGGGCACCCAACCGACACAAACTACTGAACTGGCAATTTCTGCCCTTTTCTATGTTAGGACCTTTTTATAAAAAAGCTTCCCTAATGAAACATGGAATACGTTTTGAGGGGAAAAGATAATAAAGTACTGATCATAGAAACAGTCTTAGCAATCAGTGGAAGAAAAATGTATCAGGAATACCTGACAAGAACCCCAGAAGGGGAAAACATCTCATGACTTATAAACAGCGATAAAATTGCTAAATGTAGCTGTCGCTTTCTTTCAACAATTTACAATAACTTATTTGGTCTTTACAAAAATCATCTGAACGAGTATACTTACCTACTGCTAGGGAACCTAAAAATGTTTTAAAAGAACAGCCCAATATTAAATCAAAAATTACATGAAAAAGAGATCCCCACTTTGCTGACAAAATACAGTATTGTTAATGAATACTGTGGAACAGTAGAAAAACTATAAGTTCATTGTTTAGATTTTGGCTTCATTATACTTAGTTTTTCAGCCATGACCCCCTCACCCGCTCTATACAAGTCTTAGGTCAGATGTTGATAAGTTGTGACATTCCAGCTGTTGGACTACAGCTTCCATCGGATTCTGGCATCCTAGCCAGGATGATAGGACCTTTGTATAGAAAAGCTTTGTGGGAGCATCATGTCTCTGAGAAAACTTTATTTCTTGTAAAAGAAACAATATCTAGAAGTTCACAAGTCATCCACCTTTGCTCTAAGCTGAGCTCAGGGCTCCTCCCCTCCCAGTAAAGATGGCACAGACAGCTGCCAAGCCCTAGAAAGGCAGCTGCACCCTCTCTGTATAGATTGGCTTTGTCTGTGTGGGGAGACAGCTCAATCTCCCACAGCCATAGTTAAATGTGCTAAAAGTTACAAAGCTGACTACTGATTTGGTATCAGACCCAAATTTTGCCAAAAAAAATTGGCTAGTTTCTTTAGTTTTGGGATCTGAACTTCAAAATGTAAAACTAAAACCAATTTGAATTCTCTTTTGTTTCTTTTGCCTGTATTTTCAGTAATCATGTCAACCAATCCATTGCCCAGATATGTCACAGACAGCCAAATGGTATGCTGGCTATTGTTATTCAGATTCTCTAGATGTTTCAGCATTTTTTTTTCACTGATCTCTTTTGTAAGCAAAAATTACCCCTCCTGGCTGAAATCATTCTAACCTTGAAATATTTTCTCAGGGAACTCAATAGGATTACTAAGTGAAGAAATTTGCATTGTTATTTTCCACTTCGTTGCATATTTTAAAAATACCACTAATTTTATTGCCAAAGCCATTCTGTTCACTCTTGATTTTATTAATTTCTAATTTAAACTATTAGTATATCGGTGTTTGCTCAATTTGCTTGGATTCAACTAAACCATAACAATTTCTAAACCATAACAAGTATTTGCAGCACAGTCCTCTATATGGCTACTCATAATAAGTTCCAAGAAAGCTAACTGGTTTAATGTGTCTATGGAAACTATTATTCAGATCAAACGCCAACTGTATATGCAGCTAGATGTGTGATCTGCATCTATGCTGGCTAAAATCAGACTAAAATTAATAAAGATCAATAAAATATTTAGACACACAGCAATAATGATGCAGGACAAGAGGTACAGTACATTACTGGGGAGAACAGCAAAAGTTGCAAATGTTTGACCAAATTACTGTTTTTTGGACAGGAAGTTTGGGACAGAATATATCATGGTGTATCTGGATTTAGGATAGACTGTCCAGTGTATATGTGTACTGTATTAGTGTGGGCATCATTGCAACCTGCTTCCCCCATAATTTGTCTGCCTATAGTATTTATTGTGAGTTAGGTTCATGCTTTACACTCCTAGTATGGAGTCACCCACCATGAATCAAAAACACTTTGAGCTACGTTCTTCTTCCTCAGTTTGAAGAGTTTGTTTCTCTTTGCTATTGAACTAGTAGCTTTTCACTGGCTTTGATGATTTGCTTCTCTCATTTTATTGAGTCACTGATTTAAGGATCAGAATTTAGGATCTCCAAACTCATGAATATATGAATACTTAGAACCACTTATTAAACATGTTCTGGTGTGGTATTGTTCTGCAGGTCTAGCTTTAAAAGAATGTGAATTGCTACACCTAACTGATAGGAAGTGATTATTTTTTTCCTACCAATGCTATCTTTCTTGTGGGGGGGGGATTGTACTTGTTTGCACCATCCAATTCTACTGCCTATATCTGACTTTTCCTCTCTGTTTTCTTTCAGAGACAAGCTCAGCAATGGAGGAAGTGGTGATTGCAGGCATAGCAGGGAAACTTCCAGAGTCTGAAAACTTACAGGAGTTCTGGGAAAACTTGATCAATGGAGTGGACATGGTCACAGAAGATGACCGGCGATGGAAACCAGGTGGGTTGAGTCACTCTGAATTGTTGTCAGGAATACAATAGAGCAGTGGTCCCCAACCTTAGGCCTCCAGATGTTCTTGGACTATAACTCCCAGAAGGCTTCACCACCAACTCTGCTGGCCAGGATTTCTGGGAGTTGAAGTCCAAGAACATCTGGAGGCCCAAGGTTGGGGACCACTGCAGTAGAGAATATTTAGGGTTATCAAGTTGATCTGCCTACCAGAAACAGGACATCCACAAAACCTGAAAGGACTGATCAGTGCCTTCAGTAGAGATCTGGAAGTGATGCTGTGAGCATTTTCATTTGGTACTTCTGCCTCAGAACATGAATTCACTAAAATTAATCCAACCAAATCCTTGAGTGCAAAACCAAGTTGGCTTCCAGCAATAACAATTCCATAATGCACTTGGACAAAATTTCCTTGCATGAATCTTTAGACCTATGCAGTCCTTGCCTTATAGAGCATGGATGGAGAGAAGCAGTTAGCTCTGACTTCTTTATCTCTTTATTTCATTAATTTATATAATGTCAAGTTCCAAACCTGAGATAGTGTAACATTACATAATAAAATGGCAGGCCCTAAGGGGCAAGAAAAATGTGTCTTATTCATGAGAACGGGCACAGTTAATGACCATACTCTCTGGTAGGGGGCATCTGACTTTTTGGGGCCAGTGTGCCTGCATATTCAAAAAATGCCATAGGCACGGTTGCAAAATCACAGATATTAGGAGAGTACTTTGTGGTTACAGAGAGAGGTATTGGTGCCCATAAGTGTAATGTTGCCTACCACCATCTTCATGGCTAGGAAGCCTATTGAGGGCCCTCAGTTTGGGTTTCTCTGCAGAATAAAACAGGACTTTTATGGACAGAGGAAGTCGGCCCTTTATCATCACAGCCTTTGAACTCTTTTGGATATATCTAAAATAAATGTTATGGGCTAAATCCCCATAGAGAAGACCCACCTGGTATTGAAACCAATGGGGTTCATATTGGTCGTGCCAGTTTCAAGTTCCACTGATATAAACCAGTGGACTCTCAACTGTGTCTTTATCTAAATCTATAACATGTTTGTTTCTGTTAACAGAAAATAACCAATATGTTCAGAATCATGGAATTTGAAAATAAATTCTATGCTGCTACCATTACAAACAATAGGAGTGATTTTGTTGACAGAACTTCTTCCATTGACAGAACCAGGAGCAAGCGGCTCTTTCTCTTCAAATCAACCCGGCGCCCCCCTATCCAACACCTAAACTTGTTTCAGAGGGCTGTGAAACTCTCAAGAGCTGACTATTAGGGATCAAGAAAGGATGCAGGGTTGAGGGATGGAAAGGAAAGGAAGAAAATTAAGTTGTAGCATCATACAATCACCAATAGTGATACTGGAGTCTGAACTTAATTTTAAATCATCTGATTGAAGATTGCTGGCTCATCCATAAATATTATTCTTTTGAAGTACTCAGGCTGGTGTGTACTTCATAACAAGGTGTCTGTACCTTCCATCTTCTTGCTACCCTGTTCCCTAGATCTTCTGAAATGTAGAAGAAGCAGTGACATGTAGAATAAATAAATACCATTGCCGCATGATTTCTAATTATATCTTTTTCTTCAGTAATTGTATCGTACATGGAACATATGGTTAACATTGGCTTGTTTCTTTTTTAAAAATTTTTTTAAGGAATCTATGGACTGCCCAGAAGAAATGGAAAACTCAAGGACATCAGCAAATTTGATGCCTCCTTTTTCGGAGTTCATCCAAAGCAGGCTCACACAATGGACCCCCAACTCCGTCTGCTGCTTGAAGTCTCTTACGAAGCCATTTTGGATGGTGGTGAGCAAAGAGTCTAGAATTGTCTGTTCCACTTATTCTCAGCTACAGGGGCATGACCCCCAAGGGTGTGTCAGGATTTTCAGCAGAGGCAGGTGTAGTTTGAAAAAAAGAGTGTTCAATCAATCCTATAACTTCAATTAATATTTTTTTAAAAAAAGAGATTGAGATATGTAAATGTAGAAAATACTTATGTTTTTATTTGTTTTTAGTCACAGTACTCGCATTTTAAGATAAAATTACTGAGAAAGGCAAGTTTGAAAAGGAGCATGAAACCCTTTTTAAAAAATCAGTGAGAGCATAGGTCTGAAAAGATGGAGAAACACTGTTTTTCACAGAGGTATAATCCTGTTAGGCTGTACTGATTGCAGTATGGGTCTCCTGTGATTAAGCTGCATCACTTCTAGAATCTATTGATCAATACAAACCAACATTAGTTAATAGTTCTTTTTTTCCCCCATGCCTTAATTCCATAGTTTGAAAAAAAAAAAGATTTTTGGAGCAGAATTTTTAACAAACCCTAGCTGTCATGCTGATTAAGGGATTTTGAGACTTATAGTCCCCCCAAAATGACTATTCATTGTTAGTTAGACTGATTGATTTTTGCAGAAGTCAGATGGTAAGTGTTTTTAGAATTTCAGTGAGTTGTTATTCAGTGGTTCAATACAGTAGCATCAAGTTCACTTTCTCCTCTCCTAGGTATGAATCCAGCTGCCCTTCGGGGTACAGATACAGGTGTGTGGATTGGTGTGAGTGGGTCAGAAGCAGGTGAAGCATTTAGTGTAGACCCTGAACAGCTGCTGGGCTACAGTATGACTGGCTGTCAACGTGCTATGTTTGCCAACAGAATTTCCTACTTCTTTGACTTCAAAGGTATGTGTGCAGAGGGTCAGGTCTGTGGTCTGCAAATATCTGTTCAGTGCTTGCAAAGTCACAGATTCTACTAGGTTAGACAGGAGGATACAGTTCTTCCACAGATGAGATTTTAAAGTAGGTAAATAGGAACTGTGTCAGCGTTTGTAGTGGAAGTATTATGTGTATTAGGTGTAGAGATCATGCATTCTTTGTGGGCCTTTTGCAGTTTTTACCTGGAGGGTTCATTACAGCCATGTTTGGAAATAACAGCATTTGACAAAATCAAATACAAATATACCTTCTTTGTAGACATGTTTTGGTTAAACCAAGCTGGCATCCCTAATAACATTTCATCTTCATTATACTAATATATATCTTCATGAATAAGGAGCCTTTTATGCAAGACAGCTAACTAGAACAGGGTAGTTTTGATGTGAATAGGAAAACTAAGAAGGCAAAGCAAATCATGGTGTGTTTTTCTCCCCCTCCTCTCATATGTCTCGTGTTCCTAAAGGCCCAAGTATGTCCATAGACACAGCATGCTCCTCTGGCCTTGTGGCTCTGGATAGTGCATACAAGGCAATCAGCAGTGGGGAATGCGAATCAGCCCTTGTAGGAGGAGTCAACCTCATCCTGAAGCCCAACACCTCCGTACAGTTCATGAAGCTTGGCATGCTTAGTCCTGAAGGTGCCTGCAAATCCTTTGATGCTTCAGGTAAAGAATTTGCTTTCATATTTAACCATGTTTTGGAAGAACGTAACATTAGTAGAAGTTTATCATTTGAGGTTCTTATGGTATTTTTTAAAAAATTTGCAACACTGTTCCCATCATGGGTGACAAAACATTGGAATGATAAGGGCATACAGTGGTGCCTCGCTTAACGATTGCCCCGCATTATGACAAAATCGCTATAGGACGATCTTTTGCTATCACAACTGCGATCGCAAAACGATGGTCTAAATAGGGTTTTTCACTTTGTGATGATCGGTTCCCTGCTTCGGGAATCGATTCTTCACAAAACAATGTTTTTTTAACAGCTGATTGGCGGTTTCCAAATGCCCGCCGGGTGCTAAAAATGGCTCCCCGCTGTGTTTAGGGATGGATTCCTTGCTAAACAGGCAGCGAAAATGGCCACCATATGGAGGATCTTCGCTGGGCGGTGAGTTTTTACCCCATTAGAACGCATTGAATGGGTTTCAGTGCATTTCAATGGGGTTTTTAATTTCATTTAACGATGTTTTCGCTTAACGGCGATTTTCCTGGAACGGATTATCGTCGTTAAACGAGGCACCACTGTATTTCTGTGTATAACAAAGGTTGGTACCCAGGTCTTCCAGAGTGTCTCACTTTTGGTTTATGGCTTGCTTGCTTGCTTGCTTGCTTATCTGTCTGTCTGTCTATCTATCAATCTATTTATTTATTTATTTATTTATTTCCATTCCTTGGCTTTAATTTAAATTAGCCTTCAGAAAAAGATAGGGAAAGCATTACTGTTATTTCAATGAATTCCAGCAATAATTAATAGTTTTCATTTTTACTAGAAGAAAAGAGCCAGGTTGCGTGGCCTGAGCAAGCTGTAAAGTCCCAGGGTTTCCCCATACGAGAATGGCAAACTGCTTCTGAGTGCTCTCTACTTGGAAAACCCTGAGTATAGAGTTGCCATAAGACACAAATGACTTGATGACACACTATTATTTATTTATTTATTTATTTATTTATTTATTTATTTATTTATTTATTTATTAAGAGTTGTGTTGTGGTTTTTAGTAAAACCAGGTATGAAAATTAGGAGGGAATGGCAGCTTGTTTTTGAAATATGAAAGCCTCCTGTAGTATTATTTTTTTGTTTTCATGGCACCTGCCTCTTCAGTAAGAAAGCCACAAAGATAGAAGGATGCAATTTCTGCATATAATTCTATGAACCTCACAAGGTCCTGTCAGAATAAATTTAATAACAAACTATAGCTCCAGATCCAGAGGTTGGGAGTTCAGTCCCCCACTGTGCCTCCTTGAGAGGAGCTGGACTCAATGAACCATATGAACTCTTCCAGCTGTGCAGTTCTAGGATGATGATGATGATGCCAATTATCAATAAAACATTTCAGGCAGATCTGAGAGAAAATACTCAGTAGCAGTGAACCTCAGCCCGGTTTTTTAAAATGAGAAAATCTGCTTAGAATAAGATATTGGCCCAAGTCCCGCTACATAAAATTATGTTTGTGGAAGTCAAACGGCATGTCTTCCAGTGGCTTCTCATTGGCAATTAGCAAGTTTTGATTTTCAGACAAACACCAATTCAGTGGACTGGCACATGCTGGAAAAATCTGAGTGAAGACCAACATGCCCTCTAAGCTATATGTGCTTGCGCATGCACAGATATCCCATCAGGGCTGCGCACTGGCAGCTGGTGTTCTCACTCCTTTAGTTCCAGTTTTGGTTGTACCCCCATGCACATAGTGCGAGGCTCTCACACAGCAATGCAGAAAATTAGAGGGAACATTGGTAGAGACTCATTGACTGGAAGGATGAAGCCCCTGTCAGTTCTGCTATTTGTCTTCTCCAGATGCTAGTTATGCAATAGGATTTTGGCCATTATTGGTATCTTAAGGTTATTTGATTTTGAGGAATGATACAAACAAGTTCATTACTGTGGAAAACAATAATCTGATTAACTGGGGAAATATAAATTCATTGACAATGCAATTTTTATGTGGAAGCTTTTTGACTAGTAGTGGGGAAACCTTGTGTATCTTTATTGAACATAGCTTTTCTCAAAACCTGTTTGTATACTTAATCAGAATACTTCAGGGGACAAATGTCCTACATCATTATAAAAGAAAAAGGGAACATGAAAACAAATAGAATTTCAGCTACTGTACAATAACTCTTGGTAAAATAAGGAAGAGTAGAGAAAATACTAACATTAGCATATCTTATCCAACTAAGAGAAGCTGGAGGACATTATCATTTGTTTCCAGTGTATGAAGACCCTCTGTTAACATTATTGACTGAATTTAAGTCAATTAAGTGCTCTTGTTGAGGTGAGCAGTACCACATAACTTGATCTGATGGGGAAATGTTAAATCAATAAAAGCTAGCTTCTTTACATGGAAATAGTTCTGCTTTGAAAATGGTTCTTTTATTCCTTGTAAGCAGAACTTGCCAACAGAACTCCTTAGCAACATATTTTCTTCTTGGTAGAGGAATTGCACTCTTTTTTGTGCCATCCTTAGAAAGAAGTGTATCAGATCATTTGAGCACTCATTTTAAAATGAGAACGAGGAAGAACAAGGATTATTTAAAGTTGTGGTTTTTTGGTTGTTGGTTTGGTTCAGTTTTTGGCTTTGCTTACTCAACATCCTTGGGAAACTATAGTTAGAAATTCAAATATCTAAATAAGATGATGTTATGGGCATTGTTGCTTTAATGGCTCTCAATTTCTGCAGGGGATGGATATTGCCGCTCAGAAGCCGTCGTTGTTGTTTTCCTGACCAAGAAATCATTAGCCAAACGGACATACGCCACCATAGTCAATTCTGGGTGTAACACTGATGGATTTAAAGAGCAAGGTAAGGTTTCTTTTCTTAAATCTCTGGAGTTGATGTGATTCTAAGATTCCTAAGATTTGTTTCCTAGAAGACAACAAATGCAACCTGTGTGGAGCAGTTGAGCCAGGTTGCAGATTACCTCTCCATGCTGACTTCAAAAGTTTGTCTCATGAAGGCCTGTCTTCTAACATGTCACACTACTCTGGTCTACCTAGCTCAGTACTATCTGCAGTGATTTACAGATAGTAATCTGCTGCTTACTGGGCAAGGGTCTCTCCTAGCCCCCTTTAGGATGCCAAGGATTTCATGTGCTCTGCTGCCCATCTACTTGATGTCAACTGGGAAAAAATGTTTTACAAATTGAGTTTGCAGCACTTTCCTACCCCTTAATTCAAAAAAGATTTCCTGTGAAATAATGGATCAGTAAGTAAATATCTGAATATCTGGCATTTTTTCAAAAATAGCAAAGGCTGCCTAGCTTGGCAGCTGAGCCGGAATTCAGCAGGCCAGGATTCCTATCTGTCATTTTGGTGGCAAAATGTTATCAAAAAAGATAACCTTCAGACACAGAGGAACATGTTGGGAGCTCTCTTATACTATGCTTGCCTTTATGTCACCTGACCATTTGCAGTGGAGTGCTTCAGTTTAGAAACAAACAGCCTGTGAAAACCTCAGCTTCTCTGGCTCAATGTGCTTTCAGAGGGGCGGTCCTTAACGCTACCAAAGGAAGTCCTTGTGGAGCTACTCCATGTTTATCGTGTTTTCTGTGGTAGGAAAAAAGAGGGATGCTCGAGTAGAATAGCCCAGGAAGTTTACAAATGAGAGATTACGTTATTTGGATCTCCATGTAGAGATATGTGAAGGAGACAGGTCATTTGTATAATAAAAGACTTATCTGCAAGCAACCTTAATAATAAAGCAGAGATAAAAATGGAGGAGCAGCCCACTGACTAGAGGCCTCATGCCACACAAACAGCATAAGCAAAGCTTGTTTTATTTGAGAAAGTGATAGTTTTGAAAAGATTCCTCTGCATTTGCAATAGTAGGTGTTCCATGTGTAAGTTTGAGAATCCTCCTCCTCATATTCAAAGCTTTTCACAGTAACCTCGACGGCAGCCCGGTATTCCCAAACAAAGCCGAGGAATTCTTGACTGCTAGCATACCCACCTGGCCGCCACTTCACTCAGTACCTGTATAGCCTACGGCAAAGGAGGCTGCAGTGAAGCATAATCTGCTGCAGTGAAGGCCGAGTTCCTAATCTTTAGTGTAGCTCCATCAATGCCTGCTCTCAAATAAGTCCTGTTGAGTTCGTCAGAGACTTTGTCCCACATACATTTTTATGCGATTACAACTCAGGTGAGGAAGAGTCTGTGATGATTTCCTAATAGGGAAGCAAGGACTGACTGTTCTTCTTGTTGCAGGTGTAACGTTCCCATCTGGGTGGATGCAGCAACAGTTGGTTGGCTCTCTATACAGAGAGTCTGGGATTAAGCCTGAGGACGTGGAATATATAGAAGCTCATGGCACAGGCACTAAGGTTTGTTCTGTCTCTCTTTTTATGTTTTTTCATATACCATTAGTTTTACTTCCCCCATCCCTCCAGTAATTCCCCCACTGTTCTCTCTGTATGGATGGATGGATGCATGCGTGCGTGCGTGCATGCGTGCGTGCGTGCGTGCGTATTCAGATACCTGTCTGTCATTTGACCAGTTGGTTTGTTTATTTCCTGCTCGACCTTTTCACTGGAGGGCTCGGTCGTCTTAGGGCTGCTTCTGTTCATTACATCCTTTGACCATAGAAATATTTCAGGAACCTTAGGTGCAGTTCACAATGTCACATTCCTTTACCTAGATATAGAAGGAGGTTCATAATCATAAGGGGAGAAAAAAAAATGAATTTTGCTGCCCATGTGAGGAGCTATTCACCATTTGACCATATGCATAGCTGTTAGCTGCCCTCTTGCACTAACCTGGTTCACATTATTTCTTCTCCTTGCATTGGGGTTTGCATGTGGGATTGTGCAGAATGATCCAGCAGTGCGAGCTGGCCCTTGGTGACTCTGAGATCTAGACAGCAACTCCTCCTGACTTCCTTTGTTACTAGGTTGGGGATCCTCAAGAAGTGAATGGCATTGTCAGTGTCTTTTGCCAATCAGATCGACCACCACTGTTGATTGGGTCAACAAAATCTAACATGGGCCATCCAGAACCTGCCTCTGGCCTCGCAGCTTTGGCAAAGGTAAGATACGGGAGGCCGTCTCCTTGCACATGACCTCATGGTGCAGACCTCGGGGAAGCCGTTGTGATATATCTGCTTGTAGGGGAGGGTGGGAATCACTGTGCAATAGTCACTTGAGTGCTCCAGAGTGGTCAGTTATTACTAAGCCAATGCACAGAGAAAACAGCTGGGCTCCTGGCTGACCGAGTTCAAAGGAAGGGAGAAGGAAGACGGTGGAACTAGCAGAGAAGAAGGGAAGAAGAAAAAAAAGGAGTGTAGGAACCACAGAAGGGAAAATTACCTTAAAGAGCAGAAAAACTGTAATGAACTCAATTTTGCCTTATGGTGATGGTCACCCAAAAACATCAGCAGGTTTACTCCCCCAAGTAGCATATTTTGTGACTCCGGGGTTAAGTGCAGCAGTGAGGGTGGGAACAGGCAGATGGAGCAACAGCTGCTGTAAAGGTCTGTGGCTTCAGGCACCTTTGAAGGCATTCCCTAGTATTTCTTCATGTAGCAAAGGAGACTGATGTTTAGTGCAGAATGTGGTGAGCTGTTCAGAATCGCAGGGATTCGTGTTTTGTTCAAAAGAAAGCCATTTTTTGTACCCTCATGGTTGACATCAGAATTGCATAGATGTGCTATAAGGGAGAAAACAGTCAGCCTGTATTGCTATGTTCTCTGTTTTTTAGGTGGTTCTGTCTTTGGAACACAATCTGTGGGCACCAAACCTTCACTACAAGACCCCAAATCCGGATATTCCTGCCTTACAAGATGGACGCGTCCAAGTTGTTACCAAGCCAACTCCCACAAAAGGTCACTTAGTTGGTATCAATTCCTTTGGCTTTGGAGGCTCAAATGCCCACATAATCCTGAGGCCTAACAGCAAGAGATCACCCCTTCCTGAGACTCCTCACTTGCCACAATTGGTACAATTTTGTGGAAGGACTCAAGAAGCAGTAGAGACATTAATAGAAAAGACTAGAAATCTTCAGGGACATGCAGCATTTGTAAGCATGCTCAACGATATCTCTGGGGTGGCTGTGTCATCCATGCCTTACAGGGGCTACACCTTGATTGGCAGTGAGAATGATGTGAAGGAGGTTGAGAAGGCCCAGTCCTCAGGGAGGCCTCTGTGGTACATCTGCTCAGGTAACTGCGTTATATATCTCCTTTTCTTTCTGAAGATTTGACCAGATCAAGTCAAGTCCAACTTTGCTTGATTTTGCAGCATGCGAAATGACTCTGTCAAGTGCCTTGTTTTGTTTTGTTTTTAAATTCTGCCTGGAATCTGTCTTGCTCACTCTGTTTTTGGAGTCCTGACTGATCATATATATTGTCCTGATAGTGTGTGTTCCTACCTGTTTCACATAATCTAGACCTGAATCTTCATTGCAACTCCTTACAGTATATCCAGTCAAAAGCTCACACATTTCCATCCCTTAAACATGTCAGAAATGTCAAAGCTTCTAAGACTCTGCTTGCTTAACCCCACAGGCATGGGAACCCAGTGGAAAGGCATGGGGCTTAGCTTAATGAAGCTTGATCTTTTCCGTCAGTCCATTTTGCGTTCAGATGAGGCTCTGAAAGACACAGGTCTGAAGGTGTCTGATTTACTCCTGCATGCGGACGAGAACACATTTAATGAAACAATTAATGCATTTGTTGGACTTGCTGCTATTCAGGTAAGAACAAAAGATGTGGCCTTTCCCCTTAGGTTGATTCCTACAAGCAAGAGGGAAAAGGGAAATTTCCTTTGTCTCACAGTCTTCTAAATCAGTATTCCAGTACTAGCACAGTGCATGGGCCTTATTTTGTGTTTATGCACATTCACAGTCCCAGGGCTTAATTTCAGCCAGAGCTCTCTAGAAACTTGTTTGTTCCCATGTGGAAAACTTGTTTTTCTGAGATAGTGTGATGGAAGGAGAATGGAGGGATGAACATTTCAGTATATTTACATCTTACATTTTATAATTTCCGTGTTACCTCCTTAGGAACCCTGCCCTTGGTATCTTTAAAATGACCAGGTGGAGGATTTGGGAGACCGCAAGTGAATCCATGGGCTTCCACACTCTACCTGTTCACCCATACCTACACAGATGCAGCTTTAAGATACATAGGCACACAGGCTGTTTCTGGGTTCTGCAGGTTAGGAGAGAAATGTAGGCTGTTATCTCATGCTTGTGCTGCTCAAAAGTAGAAAGGAAGGTGTCACATGTTCCATTGGTGCGGAAGATATTTTTGTAAGGCAGGTCAAACTGGAGGTGGAGATGACCCTACCCTAGCAGGCTACCAAGACATTTGGGGAAAATGCTTTAGCAGTAAGCATTCAATGAGCAGCAGGCCAGGGAGATAAGAGGAAGAAGAATATGGGCCATTGGGCAGAAAAGTGTATGGAAAAGTAGTGAAACTTATGGGTCAGTGTAATGAACCATTTTCACGGATAATTTAATATAGGTACGTGAAAAAATGTCATCCCAAGACCTTTTTTGAAATTTTTAAAATACGATGGTATGTTGGTATAGCCTGGGGAAAACTATGTTAAGCTCATAATTGTACTTTGGAGAAACTCACCCAGGCAGGATTGCATGTTCTGGTCTATATACTGTAAACTCAGAAGAACATTTTCTGTTCCCCAGATTGCACAGATCGATCTTTTGAAGGCCATGGGCTTGCAGCCAGATGGGATTGTTGGACACTCAGTAGGAGAGCTAGCCTGCGGCTATGCAGACAGCTCCTTAAGTCATGAAGAGGCCATTCTTGCTGCCTATTGGAGAGGGCGATGCATCAAAGATGCAAAATTACCACCAGGAGGCATGGCTGCTGTTGGTAGGTAGCTTTTCCTTCTTTTCTTTTCAGATAATCACTCCCTGTGTATTCCTTCCTTTCATCAGTGAAATGATTGCAATGTGGTGCAGGGGTAAGCTTTTTTATGGCAATATTTTTTTTTTAAATCTAAATTATTTCTGGCAATATCTGAGTGCTGCTACATGCCGTTAATCAGCCTCCAAAGGCAAGTCAATCTGTAGTTCAGTTTTCTGATGCTTACAAGGAGACAAAATGGGACAAGGGTAAAATGGCATGTGGGCAACTCTCCTCAGCCTTTGAGATGAAACATTGACATTTATTCATTCAAGTATTTATCCCCAACTCCCCATGTTTATATCTGGACCTATACCTAAAAATCTTGTAGTGAAGTGAAGACAATAAAACAATAAACAATCTGAAGTAAATTAAAAGAAGTTACAGCAATTCAAAACAATTTCACAAGATAAAACAAATGTACAAAAATCCACTACCCACTAGGTCAAAATAAAGACATAACTTGACACAAGAGCTGAGTTTTAACATGGTGTCCAAATGAAGTTAATACCTGTGGCAAAATGGCCTTTGAGGGGAGAGCATTTCACCACCAGGGCAACATAGCAGAGAAGACCCTCTCCTGTGTCTCCACATAGGGCATTATTTGCACCCGAGGAACACAGCAGAACACCTCTCTAGCACATCTCAGTGATAGGGGATGTATAGGGGAAGGCAGCCCTGGAGTTATCGAGATCACAAATAGTCACGTTTGTCTAGGCCTAGCTTTGCTTTATGCATTGCAAAGTGGTGTTCCTGGTTTTGCACATTGAAAATCAGACAAAAAGGCCCTTGAACTCACTTGTGATACAGAAAATTCAGGCATTCCAGAATTGCCTAGCAGCATTTGTCTATTTTATATTACCTGGTTGCTAGAAAATGTTAAAATATATTATTACATAAGGCAAATTGCATCTGGTCATATTATTTTACAATTGACCGTGCAGTCTCCCAGAATAACAGACTTATAAAACAGAGAAAAAGTTCTATTCACATTCCTGAGTAGAGTTTCATTTTAGCCAAGAATCCTGGGGGAGATTTCTGCTATCATTTCAATTTTTGTTACTGATTAACCTGGGTGTATAACAGGGATGGGCAACTTTCCTGGGTCTGAGGGCCCATACAACATCCTCAGATCTGAGCAGGGGAACACCATGCACTGTTCCACTATATTTCAAGACAGGTCTTGCTTCAGAATGTAAATGTGACTTAAACCAAGAGATATGTGCACTTATAATCTTCATTTATAATAGAAATGTTTTTAAAGACAGGGGTTTGTTTGTTTGGCCACTACCACTACCCCACTACAGTACTGAATTTGGCAGCTCTGGTGGGGAGGGGCAACCAGGGGCTGCAAGAACAGGCAGGGCGGCTGGCCTTATTATGGGTTGCTCTGTTGTTGTTTTTTATAATTTTATTTTTTAACGTAAGGGGTGACAAAAAGGAAAAGGGGACTTAGGAATTTATGGGGAAGAGGAGAGACCATAACATGCTAACAACCATTCTAAACTTAATGCCATATCATAGTTTTAGATTGTTCTGTTTTCTCTTTTCTGCCTTTTAGATTATTTATTTTATTTATTTATTTATTTGATTTTTACCCCGCCCCTCTAGACCATGTCTACCCATGTCTAAGCACACATTTCAGTATATGCTATTTACACGTTGCCTGTTAATTTAGTCCATTTGTTGAATAGATCCCATCTTTCTGTTGCCTTTTGTAGGGGGTAATCCTTCATGACTTCTGATAAAATGTCCATTTCTGCTATTTCCCGTATTTTTTCAATAAGATCTTCTTGCTTCGGTATCGAAGGACTTTTCCAATTTTTTGCATATAAAATTCTAGCTGCCGTAACAATATACATGACTATATGTTTCTTTGACTTATCTATGTTATCAGGTATCATACTCAATAAAAACAATTCTGGAGTTAATGGCACATTATAGAGGATTATTTGTTGTAACATAGTGTGTACTCTTTTCCAGTATTTTTTCGCTACTCCACATGACCACCACATATGATAATAACTTCCCACTTGTGTTTCACATTTCCAACACTTATTTGATACATCTGTATACATCTTTGACAGTTTTTCTGGGGTCATGTGCCACCTATAAAACATTTTATATATGTTCTCTTTAAGGTTAACCGATTTTGTAAATTTTATGTTACTTTGCCATATTTTCAATCATTGATCAATATCAATATTGTGCCCTATGTTTTGTGTTTTGGGCATTATGGGTTGCTCTGTAACAGGATGTGGTTTTATTTTTAGTTTTATTGCTTTGAAATTTTACCTTGTAAAGCTTCTTGACATTTCCATTTCAAGGGTGCTATAAAATATTAATTGCCACGATTACTTCTATTTTTGAGGAGTATTATTTGTTTGTTTATTTGCTGCTGATGACAAAGCCAGGGACAAATCTCACCTTAGAATTAAATGGGGAGGATGAGGTTTTGAGAAGTTATCTGGATTTCCAGCATGCTGCCTTTTAAGTCCCATAGAACACTCAGGTTACTGGACTATAGGAATGGAACATTTATTGTTGTGTATGTGATCGTATGATTAATTGGGTTATAGATCATGTATTATAACCCATTTTATTGTTCTTTGTGGATTCTAAGGCTGGTTAATAATTTTAAAAAATGTCTTAAATAGACTGAAGACAGACAATAGTTATGTGATTTGAAAGGGGCATTGCTTTGCATAGCATGCACATACATTTACTTTGCTTAACTGTCACCTTTGCTCAAACAAGTTCTGCAAGTTTTTGAAACCATGGAAACATCTTCAAAACCTGTTTATTATATAGCCACGCTAGGATGAGTACATACACTATGAGCTATAAGCCCTCTTTTGACCCTCCCTTCAATTATCTATTCTATGAAAAACATCTTCTATCAGAATGGTCTTAATGACTGTAAGATTGTGAAACACCTGCCAGGATGTATATGCCTATCACCACTCTCAGCTACTATGAGAATGTTCATCAGTGATGTTATCTTCCATTAATGGCATATACATCCTGGCCGGCGTTTCACAATCTTACAGTCATTAAGACCATTCTGCCTATGAAGTGATTGTAGGATGTCATGTTTGCTTGTGAATCTGAAACAACATCTGTCAATATTTTGGTTTCTTCCCTTCCCTTTGCTTTTCCTTTCCTTCGTTTTGCTAACATGCTGTACCAGACTATCATAGCTACTTTTCTGGAAGCGGCTGTCAGCCTCTTTGAACTGCTCATGTCTTCAAGCTATTTGAAATATCAGGGGTTGGGGGCTTGAAAGTGCCATGACATAGAGGTTTAATTCAGGGAGGTGCAAAATGTTGGTCTCTTATGATGCACAACAACTTTATGGAAAGTTTGTCAGGCTTTTAGCAGTGCATAATGTGAAGAGAACGTAAGAATGGCCAGAGTCACCAGGTCTAGAACAGCTTTACCCAACCTGGCTATCAGTCATGGTTGCAACCGATAACAGGAGTTGTTGCCCTTCACATTGAGAGGCACCCAAGCTGGGGAAGGCTGATGTGGAAACAAAGGCAAAACTCTGCTAACCACCCTTATGAGTCACTGTTTCTCATTAAGAATTGATAGTTTTATTGGCCTTTTCTCATTTGACTTGCTTTCTGCATCCTCCTGTGGGATTCAGCATTTCTGAGTAGACTTGCATAGGATTGCATTGGACACCCAATAGAATTCTGTTCTACTTGTCAGTAGAAAAAAATATAAGATCTAGAAAACACTCTCTAAAAAGATAAAGCTATGTTTCCTCTCCCCATATTGTCCCGTTTCCTCTACTGAAATGGTCCATAAAAGATAAGATGTGTTCAAGATCTAGCAAAGAAACAAAACGGCAGAAGATCGAGTTGGCTGGGCTTCCATAGAAGATTTCCTTATGGTTATTAATACATGAATGGGACTTATCCAAAGTAACCTGTCTTTTACAGGTCTGACATGGGAGGAGTGTAAGCGCAGGTGCCCTGCAGGAGTGGTGCCTGCTTGCCACAATGCTGAAGATACTGTCACTATTTCAGGTCCTCAGGTGAGAATACAATGTGAACCTTTACTTCAACGGCTGTGTATCTAGGACATCAACTGGCAAAACCTCAGCATTGGGTCAAATCTCGGAGAGTCAAGAAAAGATGCTTCATTTAAATTAATCGAGATTTGAACTTCCCGAATGAAACTTGTCACTCAACATTCTTCCCCAAAGATAGGAAGGCTAACTACCAGTAATGTAGCCTCAGAGGTCTGCTGCTTAAGATTTAGCTGGTAAAGTCTACCTGCTTGTGCAATGCAGCACCTTCCAGCTACTCTCCTTCTCTTAGCCTTCTCCATCCCACTTCCTAGCTGATTGGTGGTGGAAAAGGCTACAGAGGTGGCTGAACAGTGTTATTCAGCTGGGAAGTAGGAAAGGGTTATGCAGGACAAGTCAAAGTGGATTGAAAAGTTTGTGTCGCTCATGGACTATGAGAGTTGCCCGTATGTGCAATGTGTATACACACACATACACAGAGACACACAAACATCCTTGAAAATATAAATTCTACTTATTTCAACATCCAAAGAGGATTTTAGGAGATGCAATATAAGTAATATTTTTGTTGACTACTGGGGTTTATATAATGATTATTCTTGTGCATTTTTAGAAACATAGGGTCCTCCACAGGAGTGCAAAATAAGGGGACCAGTGGTTGCTTTGCAGGCCAAGAGAGCCCAAATCTACAGCCAGTGTAGTAGCAAGTTCTTGGAATCCATGAAGTGTTTGCTGCAGCAGTTTCTGATCATTTTAATCCCATTTTCCAGGATTTGGTGGCTCAGTTTGTGTCCAAGCTGAAAACAGAAGGTGTGTTTGCCAAAGAGGTGCTCAGTGCTGGAGTTGCCTTCCACTCATACTATATGGCCTCTATTGCACCGGTGCTGCTTAGTGCCCTGCAGAAGGTAATATCTCTCCACAACCTCTCACGATGGGGAGGGATGATCAAGAGAGCTGTGCTCTGTTTCTGCGGGAATTTTTTCTTGAAGTTCCTTCTCTTTCCAACCCCCCCCCCACACACACACACCTACCTATTTCTTTCTTTCTTTTAATTTTTAGGTTATTCCCAATCCAAAGCCACGTTCACCACGCTGGATCAGTACCTCCATTCCTGAATCTCAGTGGCAAACTGAGCTGGCTCAGAATTCATCCGCTGAGTACCATGTAAATAACCTTGTGAGCCCCGTCTTGTTCCAGGAAGGTCTGAGACATATACCAGAAAATGCTGTTGTGGTGGAGATTGCCCCGCATAGCCTTCTACAGGTATTACCCTCTGTGACTTGCTAATGGGCTGAAACTACTGAGGTGTCTGAACAACGCTCCTGCTTTTCCTCAGTTGTTTTCTCTCCAGTTCTTACTGTTGTTTGTCCTGAACACCTTGTCCATATAATTTTCCATCGCATATTTATTCTAAACTGGTATATCCCACTGTTGTCCATAAACCACCCCACAAGCTTTCTGCAGTTGAAAAACAAGGAACTGGGAATGGTTCCCAATGAAGTGGTTGATGAGTCCTGCCTTGTTTATGGAATTTTGCTGTGGCGCTCTAGATACTGCTGTTTCTCATTTGCTATCCCTCCATGCTTTACCTCTTCCTTTTCTTCCTCTTCCCCTTCTTCCATACACTCCATTAAGGAGGCAACATTATAGAATAGCTGCACAGTCTCTTTTAACTGGTATTATGGGGAGCCCTTTGCCCAGAAGCCTCCTAAAATCCGTGTAGTGAATGAATACCATGTGTAAGAAATGGCAGGGAGGATAAAATTATAGCACAATAACATAGCCTGCAAGCTTGTCATATTTCATTAAATAATAATTAACAAATCTGGCAGATTTCCTCTGGAGTGGTAGTGGAATCAGTGACCAGATAGCGACCATTTTGGGTATGTTTTGTTCTGGTTGTGGAATCGCCTCCCAAGAAAAAGGCAGGTCAGGCTGCACAGAGTGTCTCACCAAAGATCACCCAGTGAGTTTCATGGCCAAGTGGACGTTTGAATCCGTGTCTCCAGAGTCTGATGCACAACTTGAACCACTGCACCATGCGGTGGAAGATTCCATGAAGGCAATTTCAAGTCCTTAACAGGTTGATGTTGGAGCCACCAGTACAGTTGTGCAACAGTTATTAAGCTGTGTCACCACATTCATTGCTTTCCATATAGCCTCTTTTCCTGTTTTTCTAGTTCAGTATGTGAAGTACCTGGTTGATTTGCTGTGTGAAACATAGCCAGTAAAACTATGTGGCTCACATAAATGATGTTACTTGAGCTGTGATTTCTGAGTTTCTAAATTTGGGTGTTTGTTTTTTGGAGGGTGGGCTACCAGATAGTCCCTGATAGATCATTAGCACTGAAAGTCATCCCCTTCTCAGTCATCCCAGAATCATTCACCTTTATAATTCATATTTTAGAAGGCTGTATGGCTTTTCTTTCAAGTCATGACATACGCAACCCTCTTAAGTGTGCATGTTTGTGTGTGTGTGTTTTAAGCATCTTATGACTAGCTTTCATTCTCTGTTATTTGCAGGCCAGATATTTGTGTTAAAAGTGCTGAAACTGCTGGTGTTTAGAACTGAAAATAATCTGCATTTGCATCACCTGGAGACATGGATGCTTTATTTTTGTTGTTGCTATTGTTCTTCCTTTTTCTTTTATCAGTCTCATTTAAAGCTATGGCTGGGTCGTTACAGGGCCAGTGGAAAGGACTTTCCACCTGTACTTCAAAGCAAGCAGAAAGACAGTTCTTTATTTTCAGCATTATGCTGTAAGGAGGGAATGGCAGGGTGTAAATTGGGATCCGCAGGTCAACCTCTGGCAGATCTGAAGTGTATTGAAAAGGATTGCAGGGTTCTTTTTTTAGCAATAATGGAAAGCATCTTTCTTCTGTCAACAATGCAGTCCAATGGATGTTAACATTGTGAATTTGCTTCTCATACTGGAAAAAAAAATACTAGGGTAAGGATGTGCAGGAACGAATCCTGTTCCTTAATTCTTTTCCTATGTTCGCGGCGCTGAGCCACTCTCTAGCACATGGTTCCCACTAGTGCAACCTGAGGCTGTAGTAGAAACAAAGTACTGTAGTCTTGCAACTCTAACAGCTGCCATTCTCTGTTGTTGAAAGGCGTAAAACTCTTCTGATTAATCCTACTCAAATGAATCCTAATGAATGAGGCAGAGAGGAAGAGGGAAGGGTGAGACAGTCAGAATTTTTCCTAGTTTGGCTTATGTACATATATAGATTGCGGTATGACAGAAAAGTGATGAGAAAAGCTTTATCTGCTGAATTTCTGCCTGCCACTCACTTATGAACAGGATTGCCATCCTACTAATAGGTGAGAATGCTAGCTGAAGGTAGATTTTAGAAAAAAGGTTGTTCATGGCTTTTTCTGGTAACACTTTGAATTTCATCTGTTCAGGCAATCCTGAGGAGAGCTTTGAAGCCAACCTGCACTGTTTTACCCTTGATGAAGAGAGAACATAAAAACAACTTGGAATTCTTCCTGACAAATATTGGAAAAATCTACATGACAGGGTAAGGAAAGAGCAGATAACGAGGAACACAGAGACACAAAGTCTCTGTCTGCAGACATTTATGTTTTGAATAGACTAAATTATTTTAATCCAGGATGGAGAACATATGGCATCTATGGTGATGTTGGAGTCTCATTCCCATAATCTCTAACCATTGATCATATTCTCCAGAGCTCATGAGTATTGGAATACAGTATTTGGAGGACCATGGGGCCTCCACTTCTGCTTTAACCATTTCTCTCCTTGGTCTAGAAGTCCTAACATTCTGTCCATACATCTAAACAAAAAATAAGAATGTGCTGAGTTACTTTCATTCAGAGGCATTAAAAAGCAGAACTTCACATCTGATGCTGGGACTGCTTCTGGCCTGCCAAAAAGCTTTATCAGAACTTGGAAAGTTGCTTTCCAAAAGCAATTGTTTCTTATTTACTTGTTATAGTATATATAACTATAGAGAGAGAGGTAGAGGCAAAGTTACTTTTATTGGCTCATCTGATATATTTCTAGTTACTTTTTAAACGTTTCCTTTAAAGGACGTTTTTAGAAGCAATTTGTCAAGATTAATGCCATTCTCTTACCAATCTTAAGGTTTATGTATGTATGTTGTCTGTCTGTCTGTTTATGTTTATGTTTATGTTTATGTATATGTATATGTATATGTATATGTATATGTATATGTATATGTATATGTATATGTATATATATATATATATACAAGATTGGTAAGAGAATGGCATTAAACTTGACAAATTGCTTCTAAAAACGTCCTTTAAAGGAAACATTTAAAAAGTAACTAGAAATATATTAGATGAGCCAATAAAAGTAACTTTGCCTTTACTTTTGAAATGCAATCTGTTGACACCCTCAGCAACTGCATTAATTGTTATCTGCAAGCTCTGAATCACATTGCATTTGGAATACAAGGAATGTAGGTTTTCAGAAGAGGGAAAGGGATACAGGTCCTTGGTGTGGATTACCCTCAAACCTTTCTTCTTCCTTTTGACTGTTGAGTACAATCTTCACAGATGCATGTTGTGTGTGTGTGTTTTTCCCCCCAGAATAAATGTCCTTGCAAACAATTTGTTTCCACCCGTTGAATATCCTGCTCCTCTGGGAACTCCACTCATCTCTCCTTATATTCTGTGGGATCACAGCCAGGTGTGGGATGTCCCCAAAGCAGAAGACTTCCCAGCAGGCTCTGGGAGCTCTGGAGCAGCAACAGTCTACAACATTGGTGTGTACTTAAAAGTGCTTTCTGTGTGAATAAAGAGAAATCCAACATGTCCTGAGTAGAAAGTGTTGGAGTTTCTGCCAGCAGAGAGTCTATGACTCATCATGTGTAACCTCCATACTAGCCTGAACAAGCTGGTCTTGTCTAGCTTTGGAAGCTTGAAAAGGCCAAGTCCTTGTTACTATTTGGAAGGGAAATTAGCAGGGAGTAGTGGGTCCTGGGCTGGGAAGGAGTCTTGGCAGAGCATGGCCCCAGGTTCAATTCCCCAGGTAGGGCTAGGAAACAAACCTTGGAAAGCCACTACCAGCCAAAGTTGACAGCCAAATGGACTAATGGTCCAACTTAATATAAAGCAGTTGTCTACCTTCATGTCACATGCTTTGAGTCACATTTGTGACATGTTTGCAGTACTGAAATCTGTGCAGTGAGAGGAAAAATGTGAGCATTCATGATTGGATTTTGCTCAGTTTGAGACAAGAGCTTTTGTCTCTTCATGAGCCAGAGATTTATTTAGAGCTGCTGAATGGATGTTTTAGTGTTTACTATTATCCACGACAGATGTGAATCCTGAATCGCCTGACTATTATTTGGTGGGTCACTGTATTGATGGCAGAGTTCTGTACCCAGCAACCGGGTACCTAGTATTAGCCTGGCGCACTCTGGCACGCTCTCTGGGGACCTCCATAGAAGAACTGCCCGTCATGTTTGAAGATGTCACCATCCATCAAGCAACTATACTTCCTAAGAAAGGTAAGGGAAGCAAACATTTCTCTATTTCAAGTAGAGTACAACTGGCATGTGGATTGACTTCCTAAAATCCCATGAGCAAAACCTAATTAACCTAGTTTGGGGAAATATTTTGCTGTTGGATGAACGTAAATGAAATCACAGAATATAATCGTAGGTCGGGGCATGCGTTCTCTGTGTTTTAGAAGAGCCCTTGTTATGGTGAACAAAGGGAAAATGCTGTACGTAAACTATTCCTGCCCCCACTGCCTATTTGATCCATGTAGGAAGGCTTACACAGATAGAAAAGCAGTGAGAATTGAGGTTGGTCTAATATCTTGCTGATTGCTGATCATCTTGCAGGTTCAACACAACTAGAGGTGAGACTCATGCCTGCCTCGCAGTGTTTTGAGGTGTCTGGAAATGGAAATCTGGCTGTAAGTGGTGAGTAAAGGCATTTACTTTCAGTACCTATTGTATAACCATATCACCATTGTATGCTCTTGGGTATTAACAACCATTTGCCTCTTGTCTGTCTTGTGTCTATCAGGAAAAATCTCTGTTTTGGAAGAGACTGCACTGAATAACTTTCGTAACCAGCAGACTGACTTAGGAAGCCAGGCAAATACTGGCTCAGAAATATGCTTATCAAAGGGGGACATTTACAAAGAACTTCGCCTGCGTGGTTATGATTATGGGTCCGCTTTTCAGGGGCTCATAGAATCCAAAGGTAACTCCATGTATACAACTGAAAGATAGAAATAAGAACTGCTGTTATTCAGCTGGAAGGCCTGCTAGTTAAAATGGTTGACTGTGACATTCAATTGATTTTAGAACTCTGGTATGAGGGAATACAGAGGTTAATGTGCTTGACAATTAGAGAAGCAATTGGAGCCCTTTTAAACAGGCTTAGGACCTCAATACTTGTCAGAACGTCTCTCCAAGAAATCAGCTATCTGTTTTACCCACTCCTCTCGATACATGTTATTAAAAATGGCTGCACCCCAGAGACCATGAGCCTTTTCAGTGTGGCCCCTAGTCTCTGAAGCAAAATGCCAATAGTGAAATGCCAGGCTCATTTACTCTTTATCTTTAGCAAGCTGGTAAAGACAGAATTATCTAAAGTTGCCTTTAATGAATGTTTCTCTTGAAAGCTATCATTTTTTGAAATTAATCTTAGATTTCATATAGTTATTTATAATTATGATTTAATTACTGTCTGTATATCTCTGTATTGTTTTTATATGTATTTATGTGGGTTTTGAGGGTTTTCAGATTTAATCTTTAACTGCCTGGAGTAGTGCTTGCATTAATGGGGTGATGTATAAATTAAATAAACCAACAAAGGAATGAACAAACAAACCATCTTGCAAATTGTTTGAGGGCCAAATGTCAGGACAAGGTTGTGTGTATATATTGATTCCCTCCCCGCCCACCTTCAGTCCTTGACTGTGACATGTCTCTGTTCCCATTTGCTTGAGTCCAGATAGAACTTTCCTCTGTGTTCAAGGACATTGCTTGATTAGGGTTTCCGACTGTATGCCGAATTCCACTTATATTCAAGCAAATGTGCATAGACACTCTGCTCTAAGAGGGGAGGTCAGGAATTGCAGGATTGGAGATCATGTATGAATAGCCTAAGGCTTTCGGGAATCTGGAGGTGAGAGTAGCCCTTGTTTCCCGAACCAGCCTGAGAAGTACAGAAACCTTGAGGCAAAAGTAGCACAATTCTTCTTGTAGGCTGAAATGTATTTTCAGAATTGCCATGCCATTGTTTGCTGTGTGCTAAATAGATGGTGTTTCATCCCCAGGGAATACAGGGAAGGTGTTGTGGAATGGGAACTGGGTGACTTTCCTTGACACTCTGCTGCATTTGATCATCTTGGGGGAAATGGGAAGAAGCCTGCGCTTGCCCACCCGAATCCGCTCTGTGTGCATTGATCCAAAGCTACACAAAGAGCGTGTGTACAAATACACTGAAGAGATTGAAGGTAATCGTTTCTCTTTTCTTTTTCTTCTTTTTAAGGAACAGAACCCCACAACTTTATGGAAGCCAAATATGTAAAGGTGCTGTGCCAGCCTAAAGGGTCCCCTCACTGGGGGAAAGTTGGCATAAAAATAAAACCAATAAAATAAACGAGCAATTTAGTAAAATGGATTTGTGGGAGCCATAAGGCTGTCAGTGCCTTTCTTTGTAGACCTTGGCCTGAATTGAAAAGGAGACTCCATCTGAATCTTATCTGTGCTTTATGCCCAACCTTCTCTTTGCCTTATAGCTTTGGATGCTGTTGTGGATCGCTGCCTTGATACCATCGCAGTAGGAGCTGTTCGGATCTCTGGCCTTCATGCTAGCGTGGCTCCTCGGCGGCAGCAAGAGCAGACTCCTCCCACCCTTGAGAAATTTGGCTTTGTGCCCTACGTTGAGAACGATTGCTTGTCCTCCAATGCCCTGCTTAACTCCAACTTTGAACATTGCAAAGGTAAAAATCTCAGTTGGGTCTCAACAATGACTTTCTGAGATGATGCATCCAGGACAGAATAGGAATCAGGGCCATGATGGAAGAGTACCCACCCACATCCTAAGCAATGATCAGGAACAGGAATCAGGGTTGTATTCTGAAGTCAATTTTGTTATCAGGGAAGATGCAAAGTGAAGCTGGAACCATAAAGCTTATTGTTCTTAACCAAGAAACTCACTACTACTCTCGTCGTTGTTTAGTCGTTTAGTCGTGTCCGACTCTTCGTGAACCCATGGACCAGAGCACGCCAGGCCATCCTATCTTCCACTGCCTCCCGGAGTTGTGTCAAATTCATGTTGGTTGCTTCGATGACACTGTTCAGCCATCTCATCCTCTGTTGTCCCCTTCTCCTCTTGCCTTCACAGTTTCCCAACTTCAAGGTCTTTTCCAAGGATTCTTCTCTTCTCATGAGATGGCCGAAGTATTGGAGCCTCAGCTTCAGGATCTGTCCTTCCAGTGAGCACTCAGGGTTGAGTTCCTTTAGAATTGATAGGTTTGTTCTCCTTGCAGTCCAGGGGACTCTCAAGAGCCTCCTCCAGCATAACAATTCAAAGGCATCAATTCTTCGGTGGTCAGCTTTCCTTATGGTCCAGCTCTCACTTCCATACATCACTACAGGAAAAACCATAGCTTTGACTATTCGGACTTTTGTTGGCACGGTGATGTCTCTGCTTTTTAAGATGCTGTCAAGGTTTGTCATCGCTTTCCTCCCAAGAAGCAGGCGTCTTTTAATTTTGTGGCTGCTGTCACCCTCTGCAGTGATCATGGAGCCCAAGAAAGTAAAATCTGTCACTGCCTCCATATCTTATCCTTCTATTTCCCAGGAGGTAATGGGACCAGTGGCCATGATCTTAGTTATTTTGATGTTGAGTTTCAGACCGTTTTTTTTTT